TATTGCCCACTCCCAATGCTTTTCTTCATTGCCCTGGCGGCAAGTAGGCTACGGGTGCTGCCCCCTCATCCTCACTCTCTGACTCTAATTAATCTCTAACCCTGACACCCGCCAGCTCCCCTCTCCCCTCCTTCCCTCTCTAAAGCCAGAGGAGTATTTGGCTGCTTGTCCTCATGCCCTTTGCCAGTTGCGACCCTGGCATGGGTCACAGCGCTGGGCATGGGCTGATTCGCATGGGCATCCCTGCAGGGCACCAGTCGCTGGGTACCATTTTGGCACCCACAGCCCCTGGCAGGGTCAGGGGGCTGTATGAAACACAGTGACCTCAAGTTCTGAGGCTGCTTCCAGGGTGCGTGCAAGGCTTTTGTGCCCCCAGCCCTCCAGGTTGCCCGTCACGGTGGTCAGGCTTTGGCAGCCACTCTGAGACAAGTCCAACGGTCTTTGCACCGTCAAAATGAGCAGCGGCATTATCACATCCATCACCATTGCTCCAGCATCAGAGGCAACTGCAGAATAAACTGCTGCTGCTGCTCTCTCCTGGGACCTGGGGTGCAATGTGTGTGCACAGGGGTGGGTGTTCAGTGTGTGACCTGCCCGGTGTCTGCCCACGGTGCTGCCCGTTTGCTCGTCCCATCCCCTTGGGCAATATTGTCAGGAGTGGCAGTGGGACGTGTCCTGAGCAGCTGCTGCGAAAGAGCTGGCATACACCTGAGTCCCTGCTCCAGATTTCAGCCCCTGGGCATGGCTGAGCTGGCTGTGACATGGGAACAATCTCTCAGGGAAGGGTCGGGAAGGATGCTGCAGAGAGGCGACTTGCAGGAGCATCAGGAAAGAGGGATGGAGCCACAATCAGCAGAAGGGACCCTCCAACCCTGCTCCCACCTCTCGTGCCCATTGCTCAGGCCATGCCATTAAAGACACTCAGCTCCTATCCACTGAGACCCACTGCTCCCCAAAACCTCCCTCCTTAGAACCCCTGGTTTTCTCCCCACAGCAACCAGAGCAGGGCAGCTCTCAGATGCCGCCTCCCGCTCCTGGAGCACACCAGGCTTTTTTCCTAGACATGTTTCTCCCCAATGCATATTTTGGGATCACGAGTGCTAGAAATGGACAGAGCACACAAGGAGGCATTGTCGGGGCAGCTGAGCACCAGGGCGTTGTACTCGCGCGGGACAAAGGCCGTTGTGTTTCTTCTGTGACAATAAGCAATGATGGCTTGGGCAGGAGCAGAGTGGCTTTCCAAAGAGCCCTTCTCCTCCCCACTGTTGGGAGACAATTGCGTGGTTCCCCTGTCAAAAGAGAGGTGAGCGCAGGAGCTGAGTGGTGCTGGTGGCTTCACTGACGCTGCCCAAACAGATCCCAACCCCAGCTGGGAACAGCAGGTGCCGATGGCTGCAGCTGAGGCACTTTTTCACCCAAGCCTGGCCCTGGGCGTCTCCCCAGGACACTCGGTTGTGCTGGGAAACATGGAGGTGCAGGGCTGGAGCCTCCTTGCTCCCAGGGGAGTGGGCGCGAAGGCTTCCTACTTTGCTCCGGTCCCTTGCTGTGGCTGGAATTGGGCAGCTCCTCCAGAGCCCAAAGATCAGGAATGGACACAGCACAGGGAGGGGAAGAAGGAAATAAGAATAAATGAAACACTGCCCTGGGCTCTTCCACCCCTGCCTGCCAGAGAGCTGAGGGCAGAGACCAGCTCCCTGCTGCTGCCTCTGCCCTGCGGGCTGTGCTGGGGGCTGCACGGAGGGGAGAAACGGCTCTGCCCTGGCTCTTGCTTATTTCTCCCTGAGCAGACCCAGAAGCAGACTCACCCACCTGGTTTTCTGTGGCTCGCTCTGCAGGCACACGGTGCTGCACTTGCTATGTAGTTAAACCTGCTTAACGGTGAAAGGTGAGCCCTGGAAGCTGCACATAGGCAGTAGAAACCAGACCAGACCAGACCAGACCAAACTGGAGACCTGCTGAGAAGCTTGCCTTTGCTTTTTTCTTTTTTTTTTTTCAAATCATGCTGCACCCAGGGGTAGTCAGGGCTGAGCTGGGGCTCCAGGAGCCCCCACATTCAGCTCTCATCTTGAGATGTGCCTAACACTGAGCCAGCACCTGCAGAGGCTGGTCTGGGCATGGGGGCTACTTGGTTGGGAAGGGAACTTTGGTGGTGAGGATGCCCAGGTCTCACCCCTCTTGCCTTGCAGGACATCCCTATGCCAGCTCCTGGGGATCAGCCCATCCCCAAGCAATGAGGTGGCTCCCCATCCCGAGCTGCCCCCCTTGGTCCAGTCCTGCTCTGTGGCTCTCATGCATCCCTGTTTTGGGATGACCCGACCGCCGCAGGTGCTGGTGAGCCCAGGTCTGTGGGCAATGCTCTGCTTTCCACCTGCAGGAGCCCCAACCTGAACACTTCCCACGTCTCACCCCGCAGGTGCTCGGCTTACTGGTGTGGGCTCTCATCGCTGACACAACGTACTACCTCCACGCGGCATATGCCTGGGTGATGTTCGTGTCCATCTTCTTCTGGATATTAACAGTCCTTTTCTTCGTGGCTTACCTCCTGCAGCTTCAGCTGAAGTTCTACATGATCCCCTGGTCTCTTGTGGTATGTAGCTGAGAGGGAGCGCGGTGGCGGTCCCAAGTGGGAAAAATCCTGGGGAGATGCTCTGGGAGGACCAGGGCTTCAGGCTCTTCTGGGCTGGTGGAACAACATCCTCTGCCCTTTGCACAGTGACATCCTTTCATTGTGCCCCTCTGTTCCTTAGAAAGTTTTCAAAACAGGGAGCCCTTTATCAATCTAGAAAGTTCCATGCACCACATCACTGCTGCAGTTGTGGGGCCAGTTAGAAACCTCTCAGCACAACCTGGGGTGCAGTTAATGAGATGTTAACCTGAGGTCTGCTCCCAGCGTGAGGGGCTGGACCCTTTTCCTTAAATTCTCCCGGGAAAAGGAACATAAATCTGAGCCTTCTGCTCATCCCTCACACCAGCGTGCACAAGCCTGAGCCCTGACCTCACACTCTGCTCTTTGCCTTCCCCAGCTGATGATCTTCAACGCTGTGGCAACCGTCCTGTACATCACCGCCTTCGTAACTTGTGCGGCGGCTGTGCAGCCTACGTCCTGGCGGCAGTGGGATTACAACCGGAGAGCTGCAGCATCTGTAAGTAGCGGTGGGGAGGTGAGGGCCGTGGGACTGGGTGGCCGCTGTGCTCATGCCCGAATTGCGCTCCTCTTCCAGTTCTTCGCCTGTGTCACAATGATCACCTACGGGGTGAGCACCTTCTTCAGCTTCCGTGCCTGGAAAGGGCTTGGCAGTAACGCAGCCACCAGCCAAGTGACTGACCACGCATAGGGAGCGGACAGCAAAGCCCAGCCCATGGGCCACCCTGGGTCAGCTCATGCTGGGCTTGGTGCCACCAGGTCTCGTTCTCAGACCAGCCTGTGGCAGCGATGGTCAGTGCCGAGTCGTGTGGATGATGCTCTGTGGTCTCTGATGATGCTTCCAGCACAAACCCACTGGTGCCGTCACCCACAGCCTCGCCAGGAGGACATGGACTTGCTGGAGGCTGAAGCTCCTGCTTGTCCTTGGCGTTCATCCAGATCCCCACTGGAGCAGCTCCGCTGAGGCGGCTCAGCCAATTCAGCACACTCTGGTACTAAAACTCACTAAACCAAGCCCAGGCTCCAGTCTCTGGTCATTCACAGCTGCAGTGTAAGTAGTTGCAATTAACGTGGTACATAAGCTGTGGCAGAGCTGGAGGATGTAGCCTAATCAAAGGAAGCAGTCTAAACCGTTCTTGTATTGATTTCTAACAATTGGAAGCACAAATGTTATGCTTTAAATAAAAATCTTCCTAAATCGAGCACTGAAGTCTGTCAATAAAAAAATTGTCTTGTGAGAAGGTGCACGTGCAGCAGAGGTGTCACTGGCAGAGGTGACTGTCCCTTCATTCTGCCTGTGGGCATTACGGCCTGGCCCCAGGGGAGAAGGGAGTAACTCTTCAGGGTTCACCGTGCTTTGCTTTTACATAGGCGCACACACACAGAGCAGGCATCCGAGACCACAAAAACACAGAAGAGGTGCTGAGGCTTTGATGTGCTCAGCATCATACACATCATGGAGTGAACAGCACCACCTATTAAGCTGCAACTCAGTTTTGCCAGTTAGCTACAGGTGGTCTTCAGAAATTAAAATGAAGCCTGAAAATGCTCTGAGCACACACGCAGGGCCAGTGCCTCAGGAGAATGCAGAACCACGCTGTCCCCCCTCGCTGCAGGTGACAAATTCATCTTTTATTCCTTGGGGACACGGGTTGGTGTGTGTCAGAACCAGAAGGGATGCCCTGCCCTACAAAGCACCCTTCCCCTTCACACCCTCCTTGCACAAGCTAATTAAAAGAGGTGAAATGGGTTAAAGTTATTTCCAGATCCTGCTATACATGAAAGCTGGAGCACAGTGAGCGACCTTGCAAAGTTTACTGTGTGTGCACATGCTAGAAGTTTTAACAGCTTGTTTACAGAGGCAGGCTCAGGAAATGTAACTGCTTTAATGGAAGCTGTGAATTGAAAGGGACCAGACAAACTGCGTTAGCCCCTGGCTGACCTGCCTTTATTTGGTTTTCAGTGAGCTAAAGGAAGGGCCGAGTTTCCACAACTATGAATAGATGTATAAAGATCAGTAACAGTAAGAAAATTACTGAAATTACATGAGACTTTGCTTAGAATACAACAGCACTCCCTTCAGAAGAGAACTGCCTGAGGTATTCATTTATCCCGCCATTAGTTTCAGTAATTAACTGAAGCAATCGTAACAGGAAAAGAAAGAAAACTTATTTTCAGTAACAAAAACAACAGGGATATTTTTAGCTTTAGTTGCAAACAATTCATTTAGCTCAACCATTAAAAATTAAAATACGTCAACAGGATTGTCTTAAAATTTTATAAAAGCTGTTCCTGACATTAAAAAGTCAACATTACATGAAGAGTAGAGAGTTAACTGAACAACTCCAGTCACTGACAGTTGAAAAGCAACTGGATTTAAGCCTTACATTTCTCCAATGTTAACCTCAGGATTCACACGGCAGAGGAGCTGCATCCAGTTCGTATTAAAAACACGACCCAATGTTTTAGTAATTCTTTTTCGAGGAAGAGGCCCCTGGGAGCATCATCCCTGCCCACGCGTGCCTGAGCACCCACTTCTGCGCTCAGGGGAAAAGCTGCTCGTTATGACATGGGTAATAGGGAGACCCGTAAAAACCTGTGTCCTGGTGGGACGGCCCCAGCTGAGGGAGCTTCACCGACTTTGCTGCCATCAGAAGGATCAGGAACTCGCATTTCAAACCATGGCACTGCAACTCAGCGTTTTTAGGGATGTACTCAGGTTGCCTTAGCAGGTTACTGTTGCTGAAAAGAGAATCAAAATGAGCTCGTGTGGTGTTCACCGGAACAGAAAGCCTATAAAGGTGCTTTTGATTGAAACACACCCAGGATTTCTAACCCTCTTTTAAAAGCAAGAAAGAAAAAAATACAAAGACATTTCTTGCAGTTTTTAATTTTGCTTCAAACATAAATTTATTGAAGGAGATTTTAAAAAATTTCTGAAGGAATAGGTTTGTTTTTTTTTTAAAGGGAGTGTGTGTGCATCAGTGTGTGCAGTTGTGAGGGAAATAGCAACGAACCAGAACAACTCCAGACAAAAAACTGCAGAGCCATGAGCACAACGTGCTAGAAACAGAGAGATCAATGACTGCAGCACACATAAATCTAGTATACACAGAGTGCAAATACAGGACACGACACTTAGCATTGCTAGCCAGCCTGTAACAAGCCATTACGGTCTGTTCACAAGCCTGTTTAATGCTATTTATTTTGCAGTATGGCTTATTTTTGTCAGCATGGCTAGAAGTCTTAACTGGTATTCAAAAACTATTTCAGTTGAAGAACAAAGTCCTAATAGTGTTGAAGTCGCTGTCAGATGTCAACAGGACGAGGATTTCATCTCGTTTGTTCTTGTAAGACATTTCTTGTTCACAAAAATCTGTCATGGCCTGGCCATCATTTTCCTTTGCTGGGGCCAGGTTCTCATCAGGCGACAGCCACCGATCAACACCTTCACTGCTGCCAAAGGGTATCTCTGCTGCTGCATCAACCCGCTGTGGGACAGAGCGCAGGGTTCTGCCCACCTTGCTGGGTCTCTGTCTACTCTTGGGCTTTTAAAGACATACGCAAATTGCCTGGGCATGGCATTAAGCATCAGATCAATATGTCTGGACAGCATAAGAACAGAGGGTCCCTGTAGCTCCAAACATCATTTAATTCCAACTGCCAACAAGAGACGTTGGGGTTTTGTGACAGGCTGATGGCGACAGCTCCACCAGCAAGACACCATCTATTTTTCAACAGATGCTGAAAAAATGCATTGCTGCACTAATATTTCTAACAGTTTAATAGCAAACAGATGCCTTTTCATCAGCATGCTATTTAGAGCAGCAAAGGACACGGTGGCGAACACGTCTGTGTCCAACCCACCATCAAGCTTATATTGCTAGAACTTATGCAGCTGTGCCACTGCCAAAAAGAGAAATTGCATACGTAGTCCAGATTTCAGTTCATTGTGGTAATTTTCCCCAGTGTAGAATAGCTGGGGCCAGGACAAAAATGAATTGGAGAACTTTGCACATTAAGGATGAGATTTGTAAAAGCCAGAGAGCAGACAGATTTACACACTAACATATCAATTGTCAGAGCTTAGAGACAGTCTTACACTACAACACCTACATATTAAAATGTATTTCATTAGAAAGCTGTAGCACTGAAGATTAACATTAAAGTATTTTTAAAAAACCCCCAAAACAACACAACATTGACAGGGAGGAATTTGGAGGTTATATATTCACACCTCTCCTTCCAAGAGCTGGAGGGACGTCTGCTTTTTACACTGTCGGCTCGATTCTGAGTTCTACATTTTGGGAAGATGGTGATGATGTCACTGTGATGCCAACCCAAATCACACACACACAGGATTATTTATTGTCCTCTCAGTGTGCTGGGCTTCTCAGCATGCACAATGGTCAGGCTGGTGTATTAATACTGTGTATTTATTAAAAACAATTACTCTGGTAGAGGTGAAATTGTCATCTTCTGTGGTCACTGAACACCAACCAGAATTCACAAAGAGACGTTTCTAGGATCAGGCCTCTGATGGTACAGTCTAGAGGGTGAATGAGTTTTCATCACGTAAAAGCACCTTGATTCTTATGACCTTTAGTGTTTTAATATCCAAATGAAAGCAGCAGCACTCCTCTGGAGAAGGAAAGTAGTGCATAAACTGTTCTAGGAGGAGGATATTGATGATTTGTTTAATGAAGTCACCACTAAGCCACTGCTTAAATCCAGACTTCTACCTTCTTTCTCCTAGAAAAATGAAAGAAAGATAAATCCTTGATTTATGTTGTTTTGGAATAAGCGGT